GTTTCATTTTGCCTGGGCTTCAATGAAGTTGTAAGGAGGGAGTACAGGGTTAGAGCTCCCTGCAGCCCTCCCTGATGGGTGCTGCTAAAGAACATGGGCTGGGAATGCTGCTCCCAGCCCAGAGGAAGGTTTCCCAACCCCAGCTGGTTTTGCATCCCTCCCGCTCCATCCCTGAGCTGTGTTTTGCTGGGATGTCCCAAGGAAGGGCTCAGCTGGATGACACAGCCCAAGGTCCCTGTCACCCATCCCTGGGATGGATGGGGATGCAGACCCAGCTCTGCTTGGGGTTCAGGAGGAGCAGAGCTGCTTCTGCCAGGCTCAGAGGATGCTGTGGGGAGGGGGCAGCCCTCTTTGCATGCCCCATAGCCCAGCCAGAAGCCACAGGGCTTTTCCTTGCCCTCCTGCCCTGTCCCCAGTCCTCATCACCCCATCCCCACCACCCCAGCACAGCGTGGTCTTGCCTCAGTGATGCCAACTTCTCCTTTTCCATTTCATCCCAAGGTCCCTCTTGGAGAGCATCGCCGCCAGCCTGGCTCCCAGGGTAACCTCCCCCCTTCATCCTCCTTCTCTTCCTCCTCCTCTTCCTCCTGGACCTCTCTGTGTCTCCTCACACCCTAGGATGCCCTCAGCACCTCTGGGCCGTGCCTGTGTGTCTTCAGCCCCACTAACACCGGGCAGGGAGAAGGGGGCAGGGGGCTGGCTCGATGTCCCCCCCGTGTTCCCCGTGTCCCTCCTCACCCTCAGGCGCCAGCAGGGCCGCAGCTCACCTCCTGCTAATCCCGAACGTCTCTTTTTCAGCAGCTTTCAGTCTCTGGTGCCTGGGAAACACAAAAACCGCATTAACCTGCTCACTTTCCGCCCTCGCCGCTGCCTAATCCAGGACTAACACCAGGGGCGGGCTGGGGAGGAGGAAGGGGATGAGGGCGGGAGGGTGATGCTGCGCGGCCGGACCGCATCCTCCACCCGGCTCCGAGCCCTTCCGGGATGCTGGGCCGTGCCGGGGGACCCAACGCTGGAGCGGGGGATGCCCTGACTCAGTTTCCTTTCCCCTTTGCAGCGCTCGCAAGCGTCCCATCCCTTACTACCGCCCCAGCCCCTCGTCCTCCAGCTCGCTGAGCACCTACTCCTACAGCCGCAGCCGCAGCCGCAGCTACGACAGCTACAGCAGCAGCCGCAGCCGCAGCCGGACTCGCAGCCCCCCCAGCCGCTCCCGCAGCCCCAGCCGCAGCCCCAGCTACAACAGCCGCAGCAGCTCCGAGAGCGCCGGCTTCTGAGCCCGCTCCGGGACCCGGACACGGCCCCGCGGAGCCCCGGTGGGGACCGGCACCACCGGGGAGATGGAAAAGAGCTGGGGGGTGCTGAGGATGGACCTGGCGGCGAGGGAGAACGGGGCTTGGAAGCTCAATGGGTCCTTGGGGGTGATCCCGTCCTTGTCCCCTACTCCCCGATGGGGTGTTCTGAGGGTCGGGATGGGGTAGGGGGAGAATTGAATCTCTTCTTGTTACAGTGAGCACTGGGATGGGGTGAGCACAGAGCGAGGGAACAAACTGCTCTTGGGGCGGATGGGGACACCCCCCCAACCCCCCGTGTGCTGTTTTGGGTTGGTTTGATGCTTTTTGCACAAGTGTATCCTTGGGGGGGGGGGGGGTGGTGGTGGTGAAAGGGACCTCTTCAGCCCAGGGTGATGCAGCCAGAGGTGAGCCCCAACTTTCTAATGGCCAAGGTGTCCCCATGGTGTCCCAGGGTCCATTTTGCCCCCCCCCCACCAGACCCAAGTGCACCCCGAGCCATGGATGAACAAAAGCTGGTGGCACCCACGAGTCTCTTCACAAGTGGGGGCCATCCCTTTAGGTTAATGCTGCTCATCCCAGCCCAGGAGCCCTGGCACCATCCACCTCACCCAATTTGGGGGGGGACCAAACTGTCACCCCCAGGAGGAGGGAGCCATGGGGCTGGGATGCGGATTTATCACTTCTGGGGCTGCAGCCAGCCCATCCTCCTCTGGCTCTGGCACATTGATCCCACCTTTGGGCTTGATGCCCCCGGCCTCATTACAGAGGAGAGGGGCAGGAGGGTCCATGCTTTGCCACAGCCCCACTTTTGCTGCTTCTCCAATCAAACACACACCCCCCCCCCCAGGCACCGAGGACAGTCCTGACCCCCCTGGGGCCGTTGGTGTTTAATCCTCACCAGCCCCATGTTTTCCAGCTGGCTGGAGCAGGATGATGGGATGAGCCTCGCTGGGTGGGAGAGCAGCTGCCTGGATTAACCTGCTGTTCCTGATAAAGAGCAGGGCTTTGGCAATCCCTATTGATGCTGGTTTCCAGCCAGTGGGATTGGGATATGTGGGGAGGCAGTCCTTTGGAGTCCAGGTCTGCTGGTAGTGAAATGGATTTGTTAGCTGATGATGAACCAGGAGGACAGAGATACAAGCAGAGGGGTATTCCAGGGCTGGATCCCAAACCCAGCATGTCAAGGAACCAGGCTCAGCTATGTGCCCTTAGAATCATGGAATGGTTTGGGTTGGAAAAGACCTTAAAGTTCACCCAGTTCCAGCCCCCTGCCAGGGGGGACCTTCCACTAGAGCAGGTTGCTCCAAGCCCCATCCAGCATCTCCAGGGATGCGCTGTGCCAGGTACCAGCCTGGGGTACCCCATTCACCCACCCCAGCTTCGCTGGGCCCCTTCTGCGGTGCTCAGACCAGCAGAGCCGTTAGCAATGGGGTGAACAGGTAAGGAGGGGACATGCTCATGGCTCTCCGTGGCTCAGCTTGTGCCTGTGGTAGGAGGAGAAGACAAAGGGTCCTGCTGCCCTGGGGAGATGAAGGGCACGAGCATCCCCATCATCCCTATGGGGATGATGACCCCTTCGCTCCCTAAACCCTACCCCCATCAATCACAGCTCACACTGGCTGTGGGAGCCCCAAAACCCACCTTGGGGAGGGATGGTCCCCGACAACACCCACCCAGATTGAAGCCACCATCAGCGGCCGCAGCCCCCCCCAAGGCCCCCGGTGCAGCGCGGTGCAGCCCAGCCAGCACATCAGGGATCATTTCCAGTCTTCCTCTTTTACAGTGTCTGTGTCCCGCCACGGAGGGAGCAAACTGGAACAAACTCTGTAGGGACACTGCAGTATTTTCCTCTCTTGCGCGCGCTCTCTTTCCCCCTGGGTTGTGGGCTCAGCTGTAGACCCAGTGAGCTGGTTCTGTCACAATAAAATATACAGTATATATTGTAAATGACTCTGCTGGGCACCGAGAGCTTTATTCATAGGGGCTTGGGCTTGTCCAGCTCCCCAGGCCTATCCTCACCCTCTATCCCTGTCTCCTGCCACCCCTGGCTTGTCTTGTCCTGGTGCTTCTGCATCCTGCTACAGTGATGGGGGGAACCCTCTGGGAAGCTCCGCCTTGGGGCAGAGATGTCCCGTTGCATCCTCGCTGTATCCCTGCAGCCCTCCTGGCTCCCTGCATCCTTCTCTGCATCCCTCCTACCCATCTAATCCCTCTCTGTGTTCCTGCCTGCATCCCTGCATCTCTTCCAACCCTCCCATTTCCCTGCATCCCTCCCATTGGCCTGCATCCCTCTCATCCTCCTACATCCCTCCCTGCATCCTCCTATCCCTCCCATTCGACCCTCCCATGCCTCCCTGCATCCTTCTCTGCATCCCTCCCCGCATCCCTCCCAGCCCTCCCCTTTCCGCATCCTTGCATCCATCCATCCCCTCCCTCTCTGCGTCCCTCCCCTTTCCCGCATCGTTGCATCCCTTCACCTCCGCAGCATCCCCGTCCTCCACCAGGCTCCCCCCCCCCCCAGCCTTTACCAGCCCCTGCGGGGCTCAGCGCCGGGCTCTGCCCCAGACAAAGGGGTCCCTCCCTACAGGACTGAGGTGGGGGGGGCAGAGGAGATGGGTCCCAGGGGCTGTCAGGATCGCTGGGCTGGAAAAAACGCCCTTCCCTGGGATCGGGAGCCTGGAGTCTGGCTGCGAACGGGAATCGCTTCCCGTGATGTGAAGAGCCACCCCAGCCCCCCAAGGAGGAGCTGCTCCCTCCATCCCCCAAACCTCATCAGCTCTATCCCCTCCTCACCCCCCCCAGCCCCCAGGATGTCCTGCCAGCCCTTCAAGGTCCTACAATCCCCCCTCAACCCCCACTGGGACCCGCATTGGCTGGAGCAGCCCACCCCCAGCTTTGTGCTTGGGGGGTGTGTGTGTGTGTGTGTGTGTGTCCCCAGCATCACGTCACGACATTCAGCACCATGTCACGATATTGAGCACGGCGGCGGTGCCCGGGGGCTCCAGAAGCTTCTGTCCGGTGGTGACGCAGCGGCTCCCGCACTGACTCACCCGCGGAGCTGGCCCGGCCCCAGCCCCTTCCCATCGCATCCTTGGGATGGTTCCGGGCAGGAGGCTGGGATCGGCTCCAGGCGCCATCCATCACCTCCCAACCAGCCCATCCGAGGGACACTTCCCTGGCACGGCGATGGGAACCGGGATTGGGGGGGGGGCAGCCCCATCCCTGCGCTTCCCACCCAATGCGGCTGCGTGCGGCCGCCCCCATCCCGGGAAAGTTTCTCGTCCCTTCCCTGTGCCCTGCTGTGATTTCCATTAATAGCCAGCTGAGCCGCCCGCCTAAAAATAACCCCCGTTAGCCTTCATAAGGCCCCATAGTGCCGCCCCCGCCCCGGCAGCACCATGGCCGAGCGCCGCGTCCCCTTCACCTTCCTGCGCAGCCCCAGCTGGGACCCGTTCCGGGACTGGTACCATGGGAGCCGCCTGTTCGACCAGTCCTTCGGGATGCCCCACATCCCTGAGGATTGGTACAAGTGGCCGAGCGGCACCGCCTGGCCCGGCTATTTCCGCCTCCTGCCCCGGGAGAGCGCCTTGGTGCCGGCTCCCGGTTCTCCCTACGGACAAGCGCTGAGCCGGCAGCTGAGCAGCGGCATCTCCGAGATCCGCCAGACCGCGGACAGCTGGAAGGTGACCTTGGATGTGAACCACTTCGCACCCGAGGAGCTGGTGGTGAAGACCAAGGATAACATCGTGGAGATAACGGGTGGGTGATGAGGGGACGGGGGGGGAAAGGGAAGGGAGGTGGGGTAAGGGGTGGGAGGCAAGGGAAGGAAGGGGAAAGGGAGAGGAGAGCAGAGGAAAAAGGGAAGGAGCAAAGCAAGGCAAAGAGGAAGGCCCCTCATTACAAGCTCAGTCTCGGGGTGCGCTCATGCTGCAGGTGTTACACAGAGTGCAGACACCCCCAGCCCAGTGTTATTGACCCCGTGCTGTGCTCCCAGACAGGATATGGGGTGTCAGGAGCCCCGCAGCCCCCCGTGCTCCCCACACGCTGTGATGGAGCCCAGACCCCATGGCATGAGGCCAGCTCTGTGCTGTGTGCCTGGGGGGGGGGGTCCACATGGGGTGGGACGATTGCCATTCAGTGGGATTGGGATGGCAGTGCCTGGGAGAGGCTGGTGCTCCATCTCCCACTGGGCTGGGGAAGCAGAATGAGGGATGTGGGTCCCCTTGGCACCGTGCTTTGCTCCCCTAGGATGTGTGGGATCATAGGGTCACAGAATGGTTTGGGTTGAAGGGACCTCAGAGCTCATCCATTTCCAACCCCCTGCCATGGGCAGGGACACCTTCCACTGGAGCAGGGTGCTCCTGGAGGGGTCACACTGCCCCTGGTCCCCCCCAGCTGATGTTAAGGCAAAGAAACCCAGGACAGGGGCAGAATCAGCCCTTGCCCCAGTGCTGGATGATGCTGGAACCTGGTGGGATGGGGCAGGGAAGGGTGATCGCAGGCACAGAGCCCATCCAAGCTCTGCTCATCCACCCAGCCCCTTCCAACCATCCCGGTTTCCTTTCCCCCAGGCAAACACGAGGAGAAGCAGGATGAGCACGGCTTCATCTCCAGGTGCTTCACCCGCAAATACACGTAAGTACAGGGAGAGGGGAGACGGGATCCTGGCAGCATCCCTGTGTCACTGGGGACCTCTGACCACCCTCCCATCCCCTCCAATGCCCACAGCACAAACTGGGGATGCTGCTCTCCTAAGCTGGGGATAACACTCACCCAAACTGGGATTAACACTCACCCAAACTGGTGATGCTGCTCATCCAAACGGGAATGCTACTCACTCAAACTAGTGATGCTCCTTGCCCAAACCGGGGATGATGCTCACGCACCCTGCGGGTCCCACTCACCACAACCAGCAACGTACTGAGGCAGCAACGTGGGGCTGAGCATCGCATCCCTGACCCCCATCTCTGCCCCACAGCCTGCCCCCCGGCGTGGAGGCCACGGCGGTGCGGTCCTCGCTGTCCCCCGATGGCATGCTGACGGTGGAGGCGCCGCTGCCCAAGCCTGCCATCCAGTCCGCAGAGATCACCATCCCCGTCACCGTGGAGAGCCAAGCCAAGGAGCCGGCCAAGAAGTGAGGAAGAGGAGGAGGAGGAGAAGCCGCTGCCTCCCCACAAGCTGCATCCTCACCCCCATCCCTGCTTGCAGCCCCCTTTTTATTACTTTGTACTCACCCCATCACCGAGTGCCTTGAATCAATGTGAAGGAGCCGATAGAATCAGCTGGAATAAAGAGTGGTGAAAGAAACCAGGCCCCATTCCCTGTGTCCCCCATTCCCTGTGTCCCCCATTCCCTGTGTCCCCCATTCCCTGTGTCCCCCCCCATTCTCAGTGCACCGTGGATGTGCTGGGGCAGGAGGGAACCACATCGAGTCCCTCCTCCAGCAGCCCTGGACCAGAGCATGGGATGGAGCCACCCAGGGTCAATGTGGCCAAAGGGAGGGGCACTGAGCCCTGCTCAACAGCATGGGGTCAGCATCACAGAGACCCACATCCTGAATCTCTGTATCCTGCATATCCCACATCCCAGGTCCCCACATCCCAGCCTCCAGCATCCTGTGTCTTCACATCCCTGGTCTCCAAAACCTCTGGTCTCCAAATGCCAGGTCTCCACATGCCAGGTCTCCAACATCCTGGGATCAGCATCCCAGTTTTTCACATCCTGGGTCTCTGACATCCCAGGTCTCCCAAATCCTCTCTCCCAGATCCCACATCTCCCAATCCCAGGTCCCTACAATCCCGGATCTCATCACCGGGTTTCTCACCATCCTGCTCTCCAAAACTCTGGGTCACATCATCCTGGATGTGAACCCTTTGGGCCTCAACACCCCAGTGCCACCATCCTGGATCCCTGCATCCCTGAGGAGCAAGCACAGCTCTGGGTCATGGGGACCTGAGGGCAAAAGGGGCTTCATGGGGAGAAGCTCTGACCACAAACACCCCATCCCCGGCAGCATCCCCCTTCCTCTCACCCCATTGCCATGACCAAGGGAGCTGCACCCATGCGGTGGGGCTGGACATGATGTGGGTCAGTCCCAGTCTTGGTCCCTTTCAGCCCCATCTGGCCCCATGCCCCTGTATGGAACCGGCCCTACATGGCTGAGGCTGGGCTCACGGCTGCGATGTTCCCGCTTGGATAAATCCCATTAATCCCCCCTGAGTCATCCTGGAAGCAGACAGTGACCTGGGAGGAATCCTGCAGCTGTGGGGCCCCTCTCCGGGTCTGGGGGGGGGCTCCTTGTGCCCCCAGAGCCCCAACCCCTCTGCCCCAGCAGTGCAATGAGTTTGGCAGCTCTCAGCCCCAGTGTGGGGCTGGGGTTGGCTCCTGCTTTGGAGGTCACACATGCGCTTGGGGGACACCCCTCCATGTGCATCACTGTGGGGACGGGTGACCATGGCAACCAGAGGGATGGGGATGGTTGCCATAGTGAGCAGCAGCCACCAGCAGCGCAGCCTTGGGGGGATGAACTCCAACCACCCCTTCCCGGCCCTGCATTCCTACCTGGAATGGGGCCGGTGCAATGAGCTTGGCAGGTCTCCTGCCTCCTGGGAGGGCATCCATCCATCAGGGATGGGAGAAGGGCTGGGGGTGCCCTGCACATGGAACACCCCATTTTAGGACTAAATCCTGCCCAGCAAGTGCTGAGAAGGGTCCTGCCTCCTGACTCTCCCCTTCTCTCTCTGCCTCTCCCATGCATCTCTGGGGTACACGGACACATGGGCATCGCTGGTGCTGCATCCCAGGGGATCCATTTCCTCCTCCAGATGTGCAAACCGGCCCCACCAGCGAGAGGGAGATGTGGGTCAGGATGGGGAAATGTGGGGATAAGCCAGGCTTTGGGGGGTGCTGGGCCAGGATGGGGTCCTGCTTCCACAACACCCCCTGGGCAGCCCAGTGGCCATGAGCCTGATGATCCCCCCCTCAAGGGCACCCCATAACCTCTCCCATGGCCAGGCCATGCAGGGCTGTACCCATGGACCCCTCTTTGCCACCCCGTGGGGCTGCTGCAGCCCCTTCCCATGGGTCCACCCCCCCCCATCTCCATTGCAGGGCCCATGAATCAGTTTCAGTTTATGGCTTCCAAAGGCAGGGAATATTTTTACAGCGTGAGTCACCGCAGGCGGCTCCGAGTGGAAAAACCATGGGGAGGGAGGGAGGAAGCACCCACCACCCCCCCTGCTCCCAGGGGAGCACCCAGGGGCCATCCCCACAGCATCCCTCGGGCACCCTCCAAGCTGCGATCATGGTGAACCATTAACCCCTAGGGATGCAGGGCATCATGGAACGGGTTGGGTTGGGAAGGGCCTTAAAGCTCATCCAGTTCCAACCCCAGGGAACCTCCCATTGGAACTCCCAAGCCCCGTCCAAGCTGGCCTTGGCATGGCCCCATTGCCCTCCACGTTTAGGGATGATGAGGAACGGGATGAAGGAAGCCTCCCCCTCCCATCACCCCGACGCAGGCGAGACCAAGGCAGCGCTTGACGTCAGATCTGTAAGTTTATTTGCTCAATGTACGACGGCTACATAATGACTCACATTCATGATATTCCATCACTGAGGAAAAAACCGCGAAGGATGGTCCGTGTGCGAAAGGATTCCTTACAGAAACACGGAGGCGGGGGGGGGGCGGGGGGGGGGGCAGAAAAAAGAAGAAATCACTGATTTCGACCTTAAAAAGAGTTTCACTGCATATAACATGACGAAAAGCACAAACAAAGGCTCATTCAAAGAACACAGTCATTGTTCTCCTACACTGCGATAGTTATAGTTTCACCATGACGAACACCAGACATTAAGGTTAAGCTAACACTGGTGTCTTCTTTTTTGCTTTTTTTTTTTTTTGTCTTTTTTTTTTTTGTGTGTTTTTTTTCTTTTTTTTTTTTTGTCACTGTTTTCCTGTTTTCAGAACAAAATAAAATCCTAGAGAATCGCATGTCACTAGAGCAACACCCAGAACAGATCAGTTTGTTACGATCACGATCGGGAGAGAGCAAACTGTACCCCCCTGAAAGGCAAAGGAAGGGAAAAGAAAGGAGAGAAAAAAAAAAAGAAAAAGGAAAGAAAATAAATTAAAAACCCGGAAAAAAAAAAAAAGCCTTTAAAAAAATTGGGTTTTGAAGACTATTTTGTCATAGGAATACAGAACATCTACAGTATAAGTTAATAAAGTTCAAGCTACTGTATAGAAATACGACACTAGCATGCACAATATTGTATCAATAGAGTAATGGAGCAGTAATCAGTTCACTGGAGAGACAGTATCATAGGCAAGTGCATCTCTTAGAAAACCAAAGAAACCATTCAAGCTGCTTCAAAAATCAAGCCCCTGACCCCCAAACTCCCTTTTGAGCCCTCTTGTGCCATCTCTCCTGCGGAAGTTTCCTAAAGCAGCCAGAGCAGAAGCCAAAAAGAAGGGAAATGAAAGGAAAAAGGCAAAAAAACCCAAACAAACAACAAAAAAAAAGATGGGTTTTGTAATTCCAGTAAATCACTTCCAAATGATAAAGCCGGGACGATGCTGCTCATGGGTTGAGCAAAAGGAAGGTAAGAAGCTTAAAGCCATCTTCCAGCCCATGGCACCGCGAGCATCCCGCCATGGGATGCTGCTCATGGGATATGCTGCTGGGCAAGACCCTGTGTGTGTGTGTGGAGGCATCCCAGTCCAAACCAGCTTGACCAGCATCTCCATGGCATTACCCGGAGCGCAAGCGCCGGGCTCTGCTCGCTCCGCAAGGAGTCGGGATAGCGGCTTTGGGTGACAGTGGGGAGCTGAGGCAGCATCCCCGTGTGCAGGCCATGTGTGCAGCACCACGGCACCCTGCTCTCACAAGGGACAGGGACAAAGCCTGTTTCTAAAGCGGAATCAAACATGCAGGAGGGTGAGGTTTCCCTTCTATGAGCCGGAGGGCGGCAGTGAGCTTCCAACAGCGATGGGGAAACTAAAGCGAGAAGGAAGTTTACTCCAAAAACAGGGTAAGTATTCCCTGCTAAGCAACACGGATGTCCCATTTCCCACCCCCAGCCAGATCAGCCTTGGGAAAAAGACTTTGCTAAGAAGAGAACTAAGTTCCTGGGCTCCTGATGGGCGATAGAAATGTCTATGATTGTAGCTCTTCCCGTTAGGGATTTCTCTACCACGTTAGTTTCTAAGCTCCTGAAGTTCACTCATTACACCACAAGCTTCCCCAGGAGAAAGGAAAAACGCACCCGGCTTCCCTGGTGACAAACAAGGGAGCCTGGGTGCCAGGGATCTGCTGACAAACCTCATGGTACAGTGGGAGAAAGTCAGGCAGAAGTGAAATGGCAGTGCAATCCCTGAGGAAGCAGCTGTGGCACCTTAAAAATCAGGATGGTCTTTTGAAATACCAAACACAGTACATGACATACAGACCTGAATGCTCTTTTTTATTATTTTTTTATTATTATTATTATTTTTTTATTATTATTTAAGTGGCATTTTTTTTTGTTAAGTTTAAACACTTCCCCCTTGTCTAATTGAAGTTCTTACACCTTTTTGCTGTGGACTTGGAAAGAGTTGAAACAGCCGCTAGCCAAGCACCTGGTATAAGCTGTTGACCAAAAAACTAGAGCAGCTTTGATGTTCCTCAGGCGGGCGGTCTTCTTGCCTTGGGCCACACAGAATAGCTAAAGCCAGTCCACAGGCGAGGACTGATCAGGAAGGCAAGCCAAAAGAACTAGCAAAGAAGAAAGAAGAGAACACAAGACAATCAAAAAGGCTTGATGTCATATGGCTGTAATGTAGAGATACTGTAAACTGCAATTTAGTGTTAATACTGTCAGCTACCCTAAGAAATACCTCGAACCAAAAAAGAAATCACCCAGAAAGATAGGATGGCCTAAACCCCCGAGCTCTGCGAGCCCGGAATTCTTTAGCTCTGAATTCCTTCTGGATGTGGGGATTTGAGGCTATGCCCTGCCAGGCAGAGCGCCGCAGAGAGATGCCCCGCGACGGGGGACGGACACAACGGCACTTGGACTGCGGAAACAAACGCACAAAGCCTTACTGGAACCACACAATTCCTGACTGGAACCACACAACTCCTTACTGGAACCACAGAACTCTCTTTTTTTGTTTGTTTGTTTTCTCTCCTTGTGTTCCTTTAGAAAACGAGGGCCATTCCATCCACACGAATTCATCTTAAAACCCCTTTTTTTATGTGGTTGTGTTTGATTTCTAGCAATAAAGTTAAATTAAAGACAGCTCCACTTGTATTAATAATCTACAGAACAGTCCATATGCCAGTGAGGCTGCTATTCCATTACCAGCACAGCCAGCCTGACTTCCACTAGTGGTGTTTTGGCAAAAATGTCAACGAGGCAATCAAAGACAGGTAGTGGGGGGCCTCCCTGGGAAGGGGTCCCCTCCCTGGTCCCCCCCCCACCCCTGACACCCCCCCCACTCGTGGGAAAAAAATAAAGACTGCAGTAGTTAGCATCAGCGTGCGGCTGCCAGTCCATCGCGGGGGGGGTCTAGTTGTTGCCTTCACCGCCGTCGTCGTCTTGCTGATCGCTCGTCCAGAGCGTTAGGTTGTCGCGGAGGAGCTGCATGATGAGCGTTGAGTCCTTGTAGGAGTCCTCGTTGAGGGTGTCCAGCTCGGCAATGGCATCGTCGAAGGCCGTCTTGGCCAGGTGGCAGGCCTGCTCCGGAGCGTTCTGGATCTCGTAGTAGAAAACGGAGTAGTTAAGCGCCAGCCCGAGCCGGATGGGATGAGTGGGCTGCATGTGCTCCTTGCTGATCTCATGGGCTTCGCTATAGGCTTTCTCCGAGGACTCCACCACGGTCGCCCTCTTCTCACCGGTGGCCACTTCGGCCAGGTAGCGGTAATAGTCCCCTTTCATCTTCAGGTAGAAGACTTTGCTCTCGTACTGCGTCTCGCTGCAGTTCTTGATCAGGTAGTTGTCCAGCAGGCTCAGCACATCCTGGCACACCGCTTCCAACTCCTTCTCGATCTTCTCGCGGTAGGCACGGACCATTTCTATCTTCTTCTCGTTGCCGTCGGCGGAGGTCTTCTGCTCGATGCTGCTGATCACTCGCCAGGAGGAGCGCCGTGCCCCCACCACGTTTTTGTAGGCGACGGACAACAGGTTCCTCTCTTCGTTGGACAGAGGCTCGTTGAGCTCCGTCACCTGCATCAACAGAGGGAGAGACAAGAGAGACATGCGGGTTAAGCCCCAGTCACTTGATGTTCCCATCGCATGGGCGGGTGTTCCCATGTATCTCCTGCTGTCATCCAGCATCTGCTCCCGTCCCAGAGGGAGCCAGCTGGGAAATCGCGCTGTGGTCCAGTCCCCCAGCAAAAGGGGTGGGTTTGGTTTTATTCCAGGTATTCTCCGGCTCCTAAAGAGTTTTCCAGAGTGAGAAAAGTCTTCTAGGAAAGAGAAGCCTTCCACCTGCGGGATTAGAGTTGGACTTGGTGATGGAGGTGAGAGGGACAGGCAAAGCAAGAGGGTGGAAAAGGTCTACAGCCACGAGCCAGTCGTGTGGATTAACAATACCATAGCTACAGGGTGCTCAGCTTTCCCACAAGCACATGCTTCTGAGATGCCTAAAGAATACGTTAGATGTTAAAATTACAGCTGCCTTAAGGTATGTGCACAGATAAGGACTTAAAAGCTCACATGGTTAAGAGTATGTTCTTCCCACACAGGATTTTCTCTGTTGAAGATAAGTGCTCATGCACAGCATCACTTCTACCTGCCTCACACCCGCAGCAACAGGGAGCTGGCAGAGCACAGAGCCATCTCACAAGCAGGCTGCCAACCACCACCTTGGCCAGTTCAGCTACTGGGAAGCATCCTACTTGGTGCTGCAGTTATCTCACTGCAGCTCCTATAAACCACCTTTAAGTAGCCCAGGAAGGGTTGGCATCCCCCTTGACCCCATGCTGCATCCCAGATGCGGTTCTGAGCCCTCGGAGTGGGTGCAGCAGCCAGGCTGCTCCATACAGCTACTCTGCTGTTTAAGCACACAGCCCTGGCTTGTGTGTAATGTGCTGCTTCCTGCAAAGGCTCAGCACAACTGCAACGTGCTAACTGCCCTGGCATGTTGTTTATGTGCTGCTTCCAGCCTGCCTTGTGCTCTAAGTTCAGAGTTCTAGCTGTCTGTATTGCTACAGGCCTTTGAAATGACTCCATTCTTCCCTCTGAGTGACACCTGCACAAACATAAATAAGAGATGCTGTGAGGTTAGAGACATCTTTGAAAGCTGGTGGAATACTGCAGGTAGGCTTATGGATTGCCTACCCTTGGAGATACTCAAAACTCCATGAGGTTAATTGGGATCCTGTCCCATGTAAGCTGCCCTACTTTGAGTAAGGGAAACCATGGAAACATCCAGAGATCCCAGCCTGCCTTATCCTCTCACCTTTCAGCTGTAAACGGAGTGCCCAGCGCCAACAGCCACACAAGACACTCGCTGACTCCAACAGCTTCCTGTCCTGACACCGGTTCTGAAGGCTGATAACCACAGGAGGCTTTTAGCAAGACACTCTCTAAGCGGAGACACCAGTTGTAAGTGTGCACCAAGCAGGTGACTTTAAAGCTGCCCTCCAGCTACGTTTGCAGATACGTATCACTGCAGAAAGAAGATTTACCTCCTCTCACCAGAAGAGTCTTGCTGGAGGACAGATTCATTAAAACTAACAGGGAGTTTCGTAGGATTAGCTTTGCCATAAACATTTTAAATTTGAAGCCATTCGGGATTATGGAAGAAAGTTGCCCGTCAAAATCCTTCCAACAAACTGGCTGACAGATGGAAGGTACCACCTGTGGAGACAGCAGGTGCCTCCAGGGACCTCTGCAGGGAACTCACCAAAGCAGAAAGGGAGCCTTGTTAACTGCTTCCTAGCAGTAGCCAGGCTCCCAGAAAGGTAGAGCACTGCAGGGATGCACTGCAGAGGAACCACATAACATGGCCAGAGACAGGGACCATATCCCTCTGCACTGTGAGAGGGATGGGAAGAGGCTGCAGTGCCACACATACAATCAGAATAGTTAGGGTTGGAAAGGACCTTAAGATCATCTAGTGCCAAGCCCCCTGCCATGGGCAGGGACACCTCACACTAAACTGTATCACCCATGTGATATCTCAGTTTGCAACTGAGAGAGGAAGAAACGAAAACCATCTGGCACTTGCACTCCCAGCAGGAAGAAATGCAAGATGCCCAGGACACCAGGTAACAGACAGCAAGGGTATGCTTAGCTGCTTTCATCGGAGACTCACTGGAAGGTGGAAAAGATGTACCCAGGTGAAGCTGCCTTTGAGAACTGCCATCAACCCAGAACCTGCCTGCCACATTGCAGATGCTGCTGCCCACTTGCCTGCTGAAGCCTGCACCGGTGTCTTGTGCCATGGCCACACTCTGTACTCCAGCATGGAACTGCAGTCCCTGCCATGTTGCTTTTGCCATCAGCTCCGTATGGGTGACTGTCTCCAGCAGAAAACCATCCAGAAACCACTGCAGCAACTCACCAAGCGGATGGGGTCTGTGCCTTCACTGCAAGCCTGTGCTGGCCAACCAAATGCTGCTTTATCCTTAACACTGCAGGATACCACCACAAAGCGAGTTCAATCAAGCCAGAGGCTAACCAGCAAGCTCTGATATACTCGATTTACAGCATTGCATTGAACGCCCGTGGTGCGACATCAATAAGGCAATATCCTGCATCAGGCCTGGATTAGGTTGCAGTGCTCTCATTACAAGCCCTTTTGGGGAATTTCTGCTCATGTTTGTTTCCAGCATCCAGATTAACATTAGCAGAACATTCCCCCTTCTTGACTCAGACCCTGGAAGGGCAGCACCCTCACGTATAGACCAAGCCTGGAAGCATCAAGTCACCTAATGCCATTCTCAGCGCTGTTACATGGAGCTAAAGACCAAATATCCAAAGCAAAGCCTCAGTTTGGCATTGAGTTTGGCAGGCTCTGCCTGGAAGTCTCACTGCTCTCTGGGAAGCTCAGTCAGTTGGGAGCTTTACTTCCCTGGTTGACAGCAGAGGAAAGCAGAACTAACACCAGTAACTACTAGTTACTGAGCACCACGAACCTCAGTAACTGTCAAGTCTCATTTCACCCTCATACCCCTGCACATCGGGGCAGGAGATGCATGTGGCTGAAATGGAATCAAGCCTTGCATGTGGCATGAACAGCCAAGCACTAAGAGCTAGCCCACACACTCACACAGCTGGAAGCTTGATGGATGCAAGTCTTTAGCTATTCTGAAGGGAAAAATAAGAAGGAAATAGACCTTTTTCATCTTCCTTTCTGCTTCTCCCCCCAGGCAAGCCCAGCCACAAGAGTGGCTCTTTATCAACGCAGAGCAGCAGGAGATGTCAGCCATGGTGCTTCTCATTTCCCTGCTAGTCTGTAGGTAATGATCTTACTTGCAAGAGCTTCCCCTGTGCCCTGTCACCACACATGACACACGTGCCAGAGCTGCATGCAGAAGCCCTGCCTAAGGGAAAGGACACCTTGCCATGGAGCAGCCTACATTGACAGGCTTTGGCTTGGAGACACGCTCCATCACCAAGCTTGAGGATGCTACCAAGTTCCACTCTCACCGGTTCCTGCGGCCTCTGAGGGTGCAGTGTCTGCACCACCAAGACTCAAGTGCCCTAAAGCCATAGAGGCAGTCCAACAGCTCCCATTGGACAAGAACTACTGGAAGTTGAGGGTTTCTCCTGCTCAAGAGCGCAGAGGTCTGTACAAAGCAAAGCCTCTGACTTGCAGCAAAGCTCTTCAGAGGCTCTCCTGATGTCCCTGCTGCAGCAGTGAGCTCTGACTCAGCACTCTGCCCAAAACCTGGCACGCTCCTGGCATGCCCAAGTGTCACACCGCAGCCAGGGCAAGGCTCAGCCTTGGGTGAGAAGCTGCAACAAACCTGCCCCTCATGGCAAGGTCCATGCACTCCAAAGCCCAAAGGTTGGTCCCACTGCACCTTCTTTCCAGAAGCATCCTAATGAGCAGGCTTTGAGACCTACAGGGAGGTTTGCTCCCAGGCAGTGGCAGGTTAGTTTGCTTACAGGGCTTACTCCAGGACTCTTACAGTCCACTCTTCACCTTGCACCCATAAGTCTGAAGTAATTTCTGCATACACCATGAAATAACCATTTTTGAGGACCCTACAGTAGCTGCAAAGGAAGATTTTGATTTAGCTGTTTATCCTCATACACGTTTCACCTGGTTTTATAACTAAGTGCCCACCCATTTATGGCTCCTACCTAGCTTTGATGTCTTATCTTAAAGCATACAGCTGAGCAAGCTGAGCATACCCACAGCTTCTTCCCTGAGGAATGCCATCAACATTTGACAGTTTAATCCACGTTCTATGCCTCAACACTTCTGCTTTTCCGATTGCCTGAGTCCCTGAAGACACGAGGCATCTACAAAGGAGAGAGACAACCATGAGAACCTCCAGCTGCCCAGGGAGAATAGCTGTTGAGTATCAGAGCTCCTCTTCCACCAGGATACACAACAGCTGTCTCCTCCTTGGCACTTGCGTTTCCTCTGTTCTATCTACAGCTCTGCACCATGTAATTCAGAATGTTATCTCCCCGCAGAAACCCTTGCTTGGAAGTGACCCTGAGGCCTGGTCTAAAGGTCCCCTTTCCCATTTCATTCTTCTTTTTGAAAGCAAATATGCTTTTGAAACAACTTTCTGCCCAGAAATCCCACCACTGCCATTCTTAGCTGCTCTGAAGCCACTAGCAAGGGGAGCAACCAGCACACAACCCCTTCAGGCTCAAGCAACTGATAACGTTCACGACTACCTGCAGCCACACCAGCTTCAACCTATCTTTAGCCATTGTCCCGTGGTGGGACCCCATCACCCCCTGCAAGCACTCCCTTCAGCAGCCTGAGGGTCATTTTGGAAGTGATACACCAGAGGCACTGCCTGTTTTATCACCCCCATCTCACTCTGCATTCAGCTTCTGAAGAAATGCCTGCCCCCAAGCACATTAAACGTTCACCAGACCCAGTGGCTTCGTTACAGTCATGGTGAGATGTTGCACAACCCAGGCAAGAACAGCTTCTCCTTTGTGCGCCCCAGAGCGAGCTGCCCTACGACACCATCGCAGCAGGAAAGATGCTGTTCTTCAGCACTGTCCTACTTTGGCACAAAGTAGGC